CCTGGCTTCCTGAAGCAGGCTTTGGACGACGCCATCACCTGTGCGTTCCTCGAGTTGTGAATGATTGGGGAAACAAGAAATTTATTCCCCTTCCGTTTCGAACTCCGTCGTGGATCCATCGCTCACATCCACTTCTTCTCCATGACTTCCTGGGACTCGTATTTTCGCTTGTATCGGCAGTTTCAAGCCTCTTCTAAACAGAAATATAAAATTCATTTAACTAAAAATTCAAAAAGACAATTTGTTACGAAATATGAACAATAAGTGATATTTGTTGTGTTTTGCATAACATATGTTTTAATTTTCAAGGACCCAGAAAGCCCATTTAAAAAATCATACTTTGTAAGTAGTCATTTTTATCAAATGCAATTTCTGCCAGCCGTCCAAAGTATGCCCCACCAAAAGCCTGCATGTTGCACGATCATCTGTATTACAACCCCATCTAATAGACAACAGACGTTGGCTTATGATTTCTTGAAATAATCCAGCTACTGCAGGTTTAACGCGCCATGCAACCCGTTTTGGGGCCGAAATTCTCACAGATGTTGATTGATTTGCGTTTGCAATTCGAACTGAATCGTAGGTAGCTCACACAGTCCGCTCGAAAAACATCTTTTAGAAACGGTGACTTGTGAGGCGTCGGTGGTAAACACTTTTTGGTCGTATGCGAAGAATTTTAGACTTCAGAGGAACAGCTGGCGAGCAAGCTTTCTGTAAATTCTCTTCGAACCATTCCTATATATATGAGAACGGGGTCAAAGGTAAAACATGCGGTCATTTATGTTCTTCATTTCATGCAATCAAGTCATGAAAATGGGGGGGGGTCGATAAAAGATGGCTGGTTACGCGGCTGTGAGGGCCTGGTGAAGTCGGTCCAGGGGGAGGAAAGAAAGAGAGAGAGCGTGTAAAAGCGAATGCAATTAAGCCACCGTTTGCCTTCCCAGGCGCGGAGCTTTCAGAACGTCCTTTTGTGCCCGCAAGACCAGATTCCTCAAAAGGATGGCTATGGTTTCTACTTTCGCTAGCAGACGCTGACCGAAGGACTTGAAGCAATTTTATGGAAGGCTTCGTTGGGGTTCATATGGTATCCGAAATCATCAAACAAGCACGCTAATAGCGCTTTTTGTGCTCATGATTTCACCTGTTCTCAGCTATACCGGAAGGTGTCCCCTTATTCTTTTGGATAGGCGCCGGCTCGTGCGACCCACATAACCTGCTCCACAGGAGCAAGTAAATGAGTGAAAACAGGGAAGTTGTCTGAGCTGGTAGCCTATCCCTATCTTCCCCGTGAAGGACCGGGCTGGTTGAGGATAATACCCGAACTCCAGCTGCTGAGAAAGTTCATGATACGGTTTGGTCAAGGCGTCTTCTTAGGAGTTCACTTGCCGCATCCTTTTGAAAGGGACTTTGAACAATAGCGTTTCCTTTTCCATAGTAAGTGTGGTGGGTTTTATTTGTCTAGTCACCATATTCTTTGTGATGAATCTCTCAGGATACCCGTTCTCGCGAAGCAAATCCTGCCGAGCAGATTTCCCTAGATCTTTGGCTAAGAAGCAGACTAGATTGCGTCCCCGTTGGAGGGATACAAAACTCCTAAAGTTCGTTAATTATCCAGACCAGGTTTTATTTCGAAAAACGGCCCTCCGGACGCTACCGCCAGGTCTTCGGCTTAGAAGGACGTTCACGAGAAGAAGCGAACCTGCCGTTTCCACCTCCAAAATAAACTTACTGGACGGGTGTGTTTGGCTGAGAACATTTAAGAGTGTATCGACATCAATTTCTGTTGTGGCGGTGGCAAAGATGTCTTCAACATAGCAGCCATAGTGTTTTAACTTATTGATCCGATCGCTTGGTTGAAATTTCACCAGCTTGCCCATGAAGACTTTTGCTAGTATGTCAATTTGTTAAAAAAGCTCACCTATGCACGCCAACCGGCCTTTTGAATTCTCTGATGGAAATTTTTGCAGTTTCGGATTTTTTCCTTCTGACCTCGATAGGATTCGAACCTGTGGTTACTTTCATCCCAGTGGGCTTAAGCCCACGGCGCCCGTTGGGCTAAGTGTTAGTCCTTCGAATTCTACCTAAACTGCCGAGTTTTCCACAATTGGTTCAAAGTGAAATATAGATTAATTTGACGGCTGAGCTATAACAGTTGAGGTACAGCACCTGGTCCAAGATCTGGAGCTCTATGGTTACATTCCTTCTTTCTCATCCGAACTAACAGCACCTTGTTCGCATAAGTCGCTGTAGCAGAAATTGTGCCATCCTATTATCCATTACTTTTTGCTCTTTTAGATTGTGACCCTGTTGTTGGAGTTCCTGCAACATGACCCCAACTGTGCCTTTGGTTCGGATGGCAAGTAAGTCCCCCAGACGCCACCCATAAACACTCCATGACTGCTCACTCCGTATGCCTTAAAAATGACTGTACATAAAAAGAAGGCTGGGCGCATAACTTGCCCTAAGCATGATTAACGCACAGCTCCTGATGGGGCCTCGTAGCTCATTTGGCCAGAACGTTGGCTGTATGGAAGTCTTCCATTTGCTGTCGCGGGT